GGGATGCGCCCGAAGCGCACCGCTGGAGGGGACACCGGTGTTACTGGGCAGCCCGGGCACGCCGACCCCCCCAGCCCTGCGCGATGGGGGGGGCCGGGGGCTGCCGGGAACATGGCTGCATCCCTACCCCCCAGCTTGGAGGGGATGTACAGCCCTGAGCACAGGGGGATCCATCCCTGGAGGGGCCATAGAGCCCCAAGCACGGGGGGGGACGGGGACATGTCCCATGGGGCATGCACGGCACCCAGTGCAGACAGGAGGACCCAGTCCTGGAGGGGACGTACAGCCTTAAGCACAGGGTACCCACCGCGGGAGGGGACCCATCCCGGGAGGGGATGTACAGCACTGAACATGGGGTCCCCAGTTTTGGGGGGCCCCGGGGAGGGGACCGGGGCCGAGCTCACCGTCACGAGACATGCCGACCAGCAGGCACTTCTTGAAGCGGCATTGCTGGCAGCGGTTGCGGTTGATGCGGACGATGGAGCAGTTCTCGTTCTTGAGGCACTTCTTGTACTGGATGTTCTGCTGGATGCTGCGGCGGAAGAAGCCCTGTGGGGCCGGGGGTGTGTGTGTGTGTGTGTGTCACTCGGGACCCCCCCAGCACGGCAGGGGCTCTGCGCTGCCCCGGCCCCATCCCCAGTACCTTGCAGCCCTCGCAGGCGTGGACGCCGTAGTGGAAGCCGGAGGCGACGTCCCCGCAGACCTTGCAGAGCAGCACCATCCCGTTCAGCTCTGCGGAGGGACGGGGGTGAGCGGGGTCCCAGGGGGGGACGGACCACCCACCATCCCCCCCTGTCCACCCCACTCACTGGTGACAGTGCTGCCGGCTTTGCTGGGCGAGCTGCGGCGCCGCGGCGCCGCCGCTCGTCCGTGGGGACCTGCTGCACCCCGGGGAAGTTCACCGAGGAGCCGTACGATGATGATGAGGAGGAGGATGAAGGGGAGCCGTCCTCACTGGGGGCCAGCAAGCCCCCACCGTAGGTGCGGGAGTCCTGGAGGGAGCCGGTGGGCGACGGAGGAAAGTAGGTGGGGAAGGGCTGGGAGCCCGACTGGGAGCTGCTGTTGGAGCTGTCACTGCAGAGCGAGACGGGGCTGGTGCGGTTGGGTGAGGCGCCACTGGAGCCCACGTAGCTGATCACGCCGCCTGCGGGCAGAGCAGCAGGGCCACACATGCACCGAGCTGCGCCGGGCTCAGCCTCCCCCAGCCGAGAGGGGACCCCGAGAGGGGGATCGCAGCCCCGGGTGGGGTGGGCAGGGGGTCCCCAGGGAAGCACCCCGGATGCATCCCGGACCCATGGGCGTCCCCGCTGCGCCGTGGCCGCATGTGCGCTGCCCACCGTGAGTCAGGCAC